AAAAAAAAAAAAAAAAAAAAAAAAAAAAAAAAAAAAAACAAATCAATTCACTCACATACACACACACACACACACAAAAAAAAAAAAAACCGGGGGGGGGGGGGGGGAAGAAGATATAACAACTATACTTTCATGAAGTTACTACAACAAGCAAACGGAAAAGACATTCTTGGGGGGGAGGGGAGAGAGGGAGGAGGGAGGGAGGTGTCGGTGATGGGCCATAATAATCATATACAGTGTATATTGACAAAATAAAAATTAAAAAAAAAAAAAAAAAATCACTATACTAATAGATAAAAGAAGAAAAATCATGACTACTCACATACAGAAGAAAAGGCATAAGAAAACAATAAACATCTATTTTTGGTAAAAATGCATAATAAAACAGGAATATATAGATACTACCTTAATATGGTAAAATTATAAATTAGAAAGATATGCTGATGTACTTAGCTATCAAGGTTCAATAATGTAAACATATCAGATCTCCCTACATTAATCTACACTTAATAACATTACAAACAAATGGGATGTTTGTTTTAAGCAAGACAAGCTGATTCTAATATTCCTTATAGAAAAATAAGCATGCAATAAAGAGGGAGGAAAATTAAGAAAGGGCACCAAATGTTAATACAGCTTCCAGCCACCAATCATAAACAATTAGAAAGTTGGACAAAAGAAATGAAAAGAATGTTCTCAGGTAAAGACCACAGATAGTACAGGACTGTGATTTCTGAGAGAAATGTGATCCCTACAATCAACCTACCTTTCTAACTGGAGTCACTTTTCTGAGAGCAGGTGCAGAAGGAAAACACATTGCTAAGTTGAGGAGATCAAGACCAGAGTTTAGGGAGGTTGGGTGGCTGGAGGTTGTAGGACAGAGTTCTGATGAAAGGGGAGCTATACAGAGAATGAGCTGTGGAAGTCTTCCTGTGGGTCTCCTTGAGTCTTTGTCAAGTACTAAGTACATGCACAGGGTAAAATGCCACAAGGCTGGGAAAGTAAGACAGGGACATTTTAAGCTGAACAATTTCCAAGGTTCATAAGCAAACAGACAAAGCAGAGTCCTTGGCTAGGGCTTCAATGGAGAGCTGTGAAGGGTCGCACCTTTGTAATAGGGTTGAACTATCCTTTGAATAGAAGATATTTTAGATGTACCCTAGTAAATGTCAAGAAAAATGAACAAACAAAAAAAACCTCAAAGGGATCAAAGTGATCTACAAGTAATTTAAATGCCTACAACACTTTAAAGGGAAGATAATACAATCCAGACAATCATCCAGAATGTAACCTTCTCAGTGTTCTACATCCTATCAAAAATTACTAGAGATGACAATAAGTAGGAAGATATGAGTCACACCCAGAAAAACAGTCAATAGAAGCAGATCCAGAAATGACAGAAATTATGGAACAAGGACACAAATGTATTAAAACCAGGTACACAGACTTGATGAAAATTAAAAGTATGAGAAAAAAGGGAAATAGAAAAAAGAATGATATGGAAATTTCAGACATGAAAAAGTTATCTAAAATGGAGATTTCTCACTGGATAGATTAACAGCAAATTAAACACTACATATAAAAACACTAATGAATTTTAAGTCACAACATTAGAATCTATATAAAATGAAGCAAATGATAATGAAATAGATAAATGAACAGTCTCAATGGGGCAATACCATGTGATCCACCATGTATAATTGAAGTACCAAAAGGAGTGAAGATAACAGGAAAAAAATGTGAAGAGCTATTGACCAGAATTTCTTAAACTGACACAAACTATAAACCCAGCAGCTGAAAACCTCAAAAAACAAAAAACAAAAAAAAAAAAACCCAAGTGAATAATGATACACACACAACCAGACCAAGGCACATCATAATTAAGTTGCTAAAAATCAATGATAAAGAGAAAACCTTAAAATCACCCAGAGAAAAAAGTCACTTTATATAGAGGAAAAGTTATAAACGTGACTACTGACAACTTGCTGGAAACTATTCAATCCAGGCAACAATGAAATAACATCTCCAAAATGCAGAAAGGAAAAAAGAAATTTGTCAGTCAACCTAGAACTCTATATGTAAAGAAAATAAAAGCAGAAAGAATTAATTGCCCACAGACCTTCACTGTAAAATAAAGACCTGTACTGTAAGAGAACTTAAAGTTATTGAGGAGAAAAGTGAGGAGAAAAGAAAATGATACCAGCTAAAAATTTAGATCTACATAAAGGAATAAAGTATGTAAATGGTAAATGTATGGGTAAGCCAAAAAGACTTTTCCTTGTTTAATTTCTTTAGATGATACTTGATTGTTTAAAGACCAAGAAAAAAAAGTGGGGTTTATAACAAATGTAGAAGTAAAATTTAGACAACAGTAGCAGAAGGACATGAGAAAGCTAATGGAAGTACAGTATTATAAAGTATTTTATATGGGAAGTAACATGATATTATTTGAAGGTAAATCACAGTAAGATGAAAATGTATACTGTAAACTACAGCAAACACAAAGAAAATACAGCTAATAGTAGATATAAAATGGAAAACAAAATAAAATGCACAATTAATTGGAAAGAAGGCCAAAAAAAAGTAGAAAAGGAAAACAAGGTGTTTTCTACATGATGGGACATACAGAAAACAAACAAGACAATAAACCTTATCACTATATACACTAAATTTTAAAATCTCTAAGACAAAATATCAGAATCAATAAATATGTAAAAGTCAATTATAGAATATCTAAAGAAACCCAACTTAAATATAAAGCACAGATTTGTAAAAGTAAAGTGATAAAAAAAATATTTCATGTAAATACTAATCTAAGAACACTAGGGTACAATATTAATATCAAGGTACATTCTTCTTTCTGCTCTTAGGTATGAAAAAAGGAACTCCTAAGAGTCAAAGAGAGTGAGAAAAATCCCCTTTTTTCTTTCTCTGTTCTCTCCTCTCCCAACTCCCAGGCCATTCTATGAAAGCAGAAGTGACAGAGGTGATGGTGATAGCAGCAGTGGCCAGGCAGACACATAAAACTCTGAAGAAGAATCGTATTCTCTGACCAAAGGCACTGTGGTCTCACGAGCATGGGACAAGTCCTCATTACTTCTTTCTTTTTTTGTCTTCCCACTGCTTGGCACCAGATGTAGACACAATTGCAGGAACTGTGCGGCAGAGAAGGAAAACCTAGGCCTATGCTTTCTAGCCAGAAGACCAGGAAGGGGGACCTAGGGGCCTGGAAAATTTTAAGAAAATAGTGGAGAGAAAGGAATTCAAGAAAGAAATCCCATAAAGCTGTGTATGAACTCTTGGGCTTACTTACAAGCTGCACATGCAAGATCTGACCCTAATCAGCATATCAAAGCTTTGAGAACTGAACTATGGGATAAACCACTGCCTGGGTCACAGAATAGCCACTGGATGGTCTGCACTCAGGACAGATCCAAATTGCATAGCAAAGTCTTTGAAAACTGAACTGACATAGGAACCAGAACAAAGGCAAATCAGAACGTGTGACTTGAACCTAACAAGAGTGAAAGTCTGGTTAAAAAAAACTAAAAAAAAAAAAAATCACATTCTCCTTAGGATTTAATCAAAATCTAGAGTCTCATAATATTCAAATGTTCAGGATACAACCCAAAATCATTTAGCAAAGAACCAGGGAAAAGACCAACTAAAAGATGTCAATCCTAATAAGATAACACAAATATTGCAATTATCAGAAAATCACTACAAAGCACCCATTATAACCAAGTTCTAAGAAGTAAGAGTGAACACTCTTGAAAAGAATATAAAAGAAAAGTCTTAAAAATTAGAAGATGTATAAGGGAAACAAATGGAAAATTTTAAACTGAAAAAATTCACTGGATGAGCTCAATAAGTAGAATGGAGATGACAGAGAAAAGA